CCATTCTGTTTTGCAGGTCAATATTTGCTAGTTCTAATGAATAAGTAAGGGTATAGCCCACTTAATCAGATCTACCAGCCCAGCTTGAAAACTGGCACTCGCAAAAGTTAAGCCACAAAATAAATAATGCTAGGATCGAGCAAAGATGAGACCAACCTCCTCATTCCAGATACGGAGGCCACTGCATTATGAATTCTTGTTATGTTCAACATATTGGCAATGTTGGCAACGCCTCTCCCGGGTTCACCAATGCAATGGGCGAGAGTGCCGTCTAACAGTAGCTCAGCAGTTGGTAACTAAACTGTCATCTCTTAATCAACCTATTGACTAGAGTTCGATAGTTTTTCGCTTCCTCATGAACACAGATCACTGTGGAACAATACGAGAAAGATAGAGAGCCAAATAGATGGTTCACCTGTTTAGTTCCCAATTTATTCTTTAGACGCATCATCTGAATTCCATTCAGTTGGCCATCATTATTTCGAATTTTCAGCAAAAACAGTGAAAGACCGCGTGAGCCCTGCGAACAAGAAAAACAATCAAAACAAAAAACTTTTGTGGAGTTAAACGAGGGTAAATAGCTACCAACTAACCACAAGAAACATTTTTCACTGAACTATTCGCTGAAGCCAAAAAATTCGTAGTAAGTTGATTGAACCAACTTTCTGTGCGTTGCCATCTTTGTCGACAATGCGTGCCAATGTTAAGGCGACATCGGCATCTATAGCGGAGCTGAACCATTTGTATCCATAAAGGCGGAACTACAACGAAACAGATTTTTTGCGATTACGAATCTGTGGATTAACGTCTGATGTGCCTGACAATTGACTTCGCAAGTTCCTTACAGCCAGCTCTGCTACAACGGTCTGGGAAATTACCAAGGACACTGACATTAAAAAAGACATCTTGCCCCTTGGGGTACGTCACCTTTGGAGTTTTCTACTACAGCTTTCTGTGGGAACATCCTTCAATCCCTTCTCTTAAAGTTGGAAAAATTGCTTCTTTTTCAGTGCAATATTACAGGAAAAGGAGGCCGCGAAGTGTCACATGACACCCTATCACAGACATGATTCGGAGACTGTATGGAAAACATTACATGCGTCCACGTAACCAAGCCTTCCATCACTAGTTCGGAGTCGTTTGACTGGGACAACCTGCCTGTAGGCCTTAGAAGCACTGAGGCACTACTATTCCGGGTCGAGTATTTGGGATTGTTTCACGCCAAGCACTACACTTTTTGAACTGCAGTCCAAAAAATATACATTTTAGTACTATTTGTTAAGTATAAATTCCACAAGAACAAGCTATAGTTCATAGGTAAAGACCTCTGGAAAATTTTGATCAGATTACCGTGTTTCCATCGACACGCTCAGCATATGTGTCGCACCCGCCAGCCACATCGCTTCCACCTCTTTTCTCTGTCATCCACTGTCCCGAAGTCCAAGCTTTCTTCCCATCGGTAGAACACAGACGAGCGATTGACTCTGCCGCCAAGTCATGTTTCCCTTCAAGCCCAAGGGCCTGAAAGTGATTGGGATAAGGGAATGGAGTCACAGGAAAACATTGCCCTTCAGAGCAAGGTCAGCGTGGAAAAATAGCTCCTCAGTACAACCCTCCCCTCCTCAGTAGAACACATACGCTACCTCTGAAAACAATTTCCCTACGCATGCTTGATAGTGCCCTGGAGGGTAAGATTAGCTTGCAAAGTCAAAAAAGCCCTTAGATCACTAGAAAATGAAAGAGATCAGAGTGGTATAACACGAGTCTGATGAATTCGTACAGTTTAGTTAGTTCAGTAAAACCAATACCTTCAAAGTCTTAACAGCTCCATCAGTCATTGCCATTGGGCATGTGGTCAAACCAGCGGACGGCGAAAACAAGTAAATTTTCGCGAACTGTAAGTGCTTATACTTCTGTTACGATAACAAAGTGTAACGGAAAAAC